TTAATAAAATTTACTATATTTCATCCATTATTGTTGTTGTAGAAAACTCAAAAGTGCTCCCAAGCTCGGACCTTCACTTCAGCTATCCTGTAAAGCCCTGAGGTTGGTTCTCAGAGTAAACACTCTAATACCTAAGTTAGCAATAATTAGAGTTACCAAATATGGAACAAGAGTTAGGCTTGAGATTGGTTTTTATTACTTTCTAGAGAGGACCCTCGGGAGGTATTTACAGCTTTCAAGGGGGTGTCCACGTGTCATCTTTGTGGAAAATTGGGGCTATGCATGTCAATCATCACAGAAATTTCTCATAAGAAATCTGTATATGTATAGAGTTACTGTAGAACGAGAGCAGAGAGAATAAACTTGAACTCAACTAAGTTCATCACGCTTCAAGCAACGTCTGACAAAAGTTGTTGGGAACAACTTAGATTGTTCGAGGTGCATGACCTACCATCACAACATTATTCCTACCAAGGCACATGACCTCGATCTACTACCATTACAATTATATTTTTGAAAAGTAAATAATTAAATATTAAAATAACTTTAATTATAATTACAATACAATACAATTTAACATAACTAGAACTATAAGTAGAATTACAACACTAGCACAGCACATTAACCAAACTGGTAATTGCAAGTGAATTGCTAGAAAACAAAACTATGAAACAAGTTATAGAAAGATGAAAAGTTGTGCCCATTTTTAAGAGTGAAGAGGAAAAGAACAAAATGCAAAATCTTGAAGTCTTTTGCATTTCTTCGCCCATCGCCATGTCGATTCCTTCACTATCAACTGACGATTTGGTCAAAATTTTCACCCCATATCTTTTCTACAAAAGTTAAATACCTATTTCATCCTTCTACTTTGGTAAAAAAAAAAACATTTTTTTAGTCCTTCTACTTAATAAAACTCCTTTTTAGTCCATAAAATTTGAAATTTGACTCCTTTTTTAATCCCTCTATTGAGTTTTATATACGTAACACATTAAATGACGTAAATTTCAAAATAAAGGAACTAAAATAGAGTTAAAAATGAGTTTAAAATAATCTCAATTTAGTCTTCTACTTTGAAAAAAAAAAACCTCTTTATTGATTTATTTCTTTCAAAATTTTCATCATCTAACTTCACAGAACTTAATGGATGGAATAAAAAAAAGTTGAATTTCAAACTTTAGGATTAAAAAAAAGTTTTTTAAGTAAAGAGATTAAAAAAGAACTTTTTATAAAAATAGAAGACCACATTAAATATTTTGAAATTCCTCCTGTTTTATGATTAATGGTTTTCTATTTTCCTCCTTTTCCATTAACTATCACTCTCAAAAAATGATCTTAAAAACTCCATCCCTCTCTCTATTGTTGAAACTTGAAGAAAAGAGGGAAATAGAGAAAGAGTGATTAGAAAAAGAAAGAAAGAGAGAGACCAAGTATATGGCAGCCCAATTACCAGCAAAACAGATTTGAAGATCAATTTCGGCCACTCGTGGGGAAGAAGGGAATGACAAAGAATAAAGTGAGTATAAGATGGTAAATAACAGTTTATGGTACACATATAGTGATGTTATTGTCATATTTTTTAATCATTAATATCATATTTTTTATTTTAATTAATTATTATATTTTTTTAATTTATTAAAAAACAAAAAAATATAAATATTTGAAAAAAAATATAATAGAAAAGTATAATAAATAATTATATTAAAAATATAATATTAATTATTTAATATATAATAATAATCCTTGAAATTGATTTTCATTTTTAAATTTAAAGTTACAAGATACGTGGCGAAAGCAGGGAGAGAGTGATGGAGCCAGTGGTGAAAGGGCGACTGCCCTTAGCATTCCTCTTTTAGGTAAAAGTGAATCGGCGCTCCGATCCGACGGCAGCCGAGAAAATTCCCACACGTGACGTGCGCGGTACCGTTTCGTCCTCCGGAGTCCGAACGTTATGCACGAAATTGACAGGACGGTGACGTAATGCAACGGATGAGATTGCCAGCTATCTCGCTCACGTAGAAAATGGTAGGTATAGAAAGTAGGGAAAAACCTTCTTAAGCTTTTAAATTTATCCTAAATTAACATTTAAAAACCTTTAAATTAAAAATGATGCAAATAAGCCCTTTAACTATGTGTTTTGTTAAATTTGAAGTAGAAATGTTGACACTTATATTATTGTGTTGATACTCTAAGTAGTTTTTAGTTTAAAAAGCTTGTATTTTTAACTTATTTTTATTTTTTTGGTACTTTTCTTTATTTTAATTAATTTGAAGTTGAGTTAGATTAAATCTAATAAGAGGAAAAAAATTTTAGTACTTATCTCTCTACTTATAATATTCAAACTTGAAATTTATTAAAGAAAAATTAAGCTTTTTTCATTTAAACTCATAAGTCATTGGTATTTTAATCTTACTTTTTTAATAGAGTTTTCTTAAAATATATCAAAACCTAGAGTTTAATTATAAAATAATTATATATCTTATTTTTATTAACAAAAGTTAAAGATAACACATATATTATTCATGATTCATACATTACAAAACAAGATAGAGAACTTAGAGTTCATAATTCATGATATTTTTTAACATATATAACA